AAAAAAAAAAAAAAAAAAAAGGAAATGGAATCCACACCAATTCTCCAGGAATCATTTCAGAATCTCAAAAAGTACAAAGAAAAACCTTCACACAAGTATGCTCAATGAAAAATGTTGCAAGTTTACATATTTTTCTGACACAAACTTCAAGAATATATTTGTCCTAATCGGGCACAAGTAAATTCTGCAGGAATGTAACAAAGCAGCATTGTTACAGCTCAAGTACTTCTACAATCACTAAAATACCCTTAAAGCTGTACTTGCATGTTCCTTGTATAATGCTATTATAATGTGTAGTGTATTTGTACAGTGTATTTCCATGTAAAAATGAAATAATATTATCATCTAGTAATTGCATGGAATTTCATAAGAAGCAAAGTACATCAGTGTCCATTAATACATGATTCTTTTTGCCATCTCAGAGGGAATAACTTCTTATAAAATACTTATTTTAGCAGTATTCTATTGGAACAAAGTGTGGGCGATCAGTGCACAATAACAAAATTGTTTGTCAAGAAGTTATATACAGTAATTTTTTAAGAAAGGAAACATAAAATGCCACTGTTATTAAAATATTTATATAATAATATTTTCATTTCTTCATCCTTGTTTTAAAAATAGTATCATGCTCAATACATGTTTGCATTCCTTATCTTTTTGACAGCTAACAAATTACATACCTCAAACAAAAATGCTAACTAATGAGCCACATCATATAGCATGTCAGCATTTAGTGAGGAATTGACATCTTCACTTTTTATTACTTTAATACATTGACTATCTAACACTTAGAGACTTTAATACAATATCAGCTAAGCTGCTGCAGTATACCAGAGCATTTCAAAAACAAAGTGGTTTTTCAACCATGGTTTCTTGATCATCTGGGAAATACCTGCATAATACACAGTAGTGTGCAGATTACAAAGATGAGGAGAAAGCAATTATTATCCAAGGTGACTCAAACCATTACAGAACAAAAAGTGTCTCTTGATGAACTTAATTAAATAGATCTATCACAGAGAAGTAAAGATGCAGCAAACATTCGGGAAACATTTTAATACGTAAACTCTTTACAGTTCTCTCTTGGTGCACAAAATAATGTATCTAATATAAAATACACAGTGACAGGAAAAAATACCATCATCTAAAGCTTTGGGGATGATCAATGATTTCCATTTTTATAAATAAATTCAGACTCTACTTAGAATCTGCTGCTTCTACCATGAACATCACTGTGTTTCTTTTGGATTTACTACTGTTACACACCAAGCCACATGACACAGCAAACAGTCACAAATTACAATTTGCTTACCAAATGTTTAACCCTTTATAATTCTTGTAAGTTAAATAGACATATTTGGACATTCTCTATCAGGGAGGCTGAGTTCTGTGATCTCATCAATGAGAAGAGGGGAGAATAAATTAAGTTATACTAACACTGTATCTCTAAAATATCTTGGTGAAGATGAAGGAGACATCAAAACACTTGGATTTTTTCACACTGTTTGATCCCCCTTACCCAAACTCTGCCTGTGCCAGGCACAAGCCCATGGCAGAGCTCAGCTGGTGCTGATGCATTGCTCTCTGCAGTGTCCCTGATGAGGAGCCTGGTGTGGAGCACAGACAGATATTTTGAGCCTTTGTGTGTGATCCAAGGTTGTTATCTCCATAATCATGCTTTGGGCAGGGGGATGTGAACTCAGACAACCACTCTATGAAGTATGCATCTATTTCTGTAAGTCTGGCTGTGGCACAAACCATCAAGGTCATCAGGAATTATTTTACCTAAAGAGATCCTGCTCATTCAAATTAGCAATAAGACACAGAAAAAATAGTTGTACCTTGGAAGAAATTTTTAAGGTTTTCCTAAAATAGTAAAAATACTAAAACTGAGATGCTCTCCACACAAAATGGGCATATACATTAATTAATTTTAGTGGTTGGACTAAATGAACTATATGAATTGTGAAAAAATATCTGCACACTTTTAAAAAGAGAATGCTTACCATGGTAGAATAAATAGGAAGTTCTTTAAATGGGTTAACAAGCAACAGTATATCACCAATATAGGTCTGAAAAAAAGAAGACATAATTGCTTTATTAAGTAATAAATTTACATTTTTAAGGAGGCTTTCTTCCAAAAAGAATTCTCAGCAAAACCTCTTAAATCTTTAACAACATGCTAAACATAATTCATGAGTTCTGAGCTTTTAACTCCAGGGTTTGAATTTGAGATCTAAATTTACATTTTGAACATAATTAATTAGTATTTTTGTAATAAAACTGAATTCTTCATAACTGAAAATTATGCAGAGAAAAATTGCACTACATATATTATTGGTGGATTATTTGAAAGTTAATTTGTAACTTACCACTTGCCAAATTAAAAAAATGTCACAGAATCACAGAAGCTGCTGAGTTGGAAGGGACCACAAGGATCATCAAGTCTAAATCCTGGCATGCCTACCACATAAAAAAGCCCCTCAAGTGATTTTTTGTTATGGAAGAGATGGCAAAATTTAGAAATGCTATACTGGTTATCCAGAGCTGATACAGTAAAATACATTGCTTGTGGGGTTAGCTGGAGCAATTGATACATATACAAGTGTTTATGCAAGTGTATGTGTATAGGAACATATGAGCATGCATCTAGAAAAACTATCCTGACCATATCAGAAAGAGTAAATCATCTAATGATTGCATGTTTGCAAGATTTCACTATTTCATATTTGAGGCCATTGATGGATGAGTGGCTGGACATGAACCAGCACTGTGCTCTTGCAGCCCAGAAAGCCAATTGTGGCCTGGCTGCACCACAAACAGTGTGGGCAGCAGGGTGAGGGAGGGGATTCTGCCCCTCTGCTCTGCTCTGGTGAGAGCCCACCTGGAGTGTTGCATCCAGCTCTGGGGTCCCAGCACAGGAAGGACATGGACCTGTTAGGACAAAATGAGGGCCACAAAGATGATCAAAGGCCTGGAGCGCCTCTGCTGTGAAGACAGGCTGAGGAAGTTGAAACAGTTTAGCCTGGAGAAGGTTCCAGGGAGAACTTAGAACAACCTTCCAATACCTAAAGGGGCCTACAAGAAAGATAGGGAGGGACTCTTATCAGGGATTGTAGTGACAGAATGAGGAGGAATGGTTTTAAGCTAGAAGGAAAAATATGTAGGATAGCTACTAGGAGAAAAATGTTTACTGTGAAAGTGCTGAGGCACTAGAAGAGGTTGGCCAGAGGATGCCTCATGCCTGGAAATGTGCAAGGATAGACTGGATGGGGCCCTGAGTTCAACATCATCTACTGGAAGATGTCTCTGGCCATGCTGGAGGGTTGGAATCAGATTATCTTAAAGGTCCCTTCCAACTCAAACCAGTCTACAATTCTGTGCACTTAAGTGTGAGATTGTAGGCCACTCTTGCTGCTATACTTTCCACTCCACATAAATAGCTGCTGCTATTAGAATGCCAGACTTGCTGCTATAAAATTGCCAAACTTCTGTCTCTGAAGAGGTCAGATAGCAAAGCATCATGTGAACAGTTTCAGTCATGTTGTCTTTTTCAAGATGAATCATTTTGATTTGGGGAGGTGGGAAATGCTCTCTTTCATAGTAAATGTACTGATTTTCTTCTAAAATGCATCCATTTATTTCCCTTCTCCTATCTACCCTGGCTTCACTGTTGGGTTTTCCAGCAGAATGAAACTTTATAAAGTTTCCAAAAGAACATGAATCAGAAAGTGTTTAGTGCTAATGAGGAGTTTGGCTTGGAATTGGAGCCCAAGGACTTTTCCTTCTAAGTCAAAGAACCAAGTCAAGATGAAAGCAACTTCAGCACTGATGCTGACACTCTACAAAGCACAGTGGCTTCTGTTGGGACAAATACTCATGATCACTGCCTAAAAACTCTATTAAGCTAAGAGAATTCCAGAGTAGAAGATTCTTTCAGGTGAAATCTTCAGTATCTTAAAATAAAAGACTTCCTCTGTGGATCTTCATTAATTCAGTTTAAATTATCCGGTATCTTTGAAAGTGAGATAAAGAAAAACAAATACTCATATAATGAGTATTTTTTAGCATTTGATCCATGATTCCAAACCACAGAATTTTTTTTACCATTGACTATCATAACACCTATTCAGTTCCCATAATTTCAAATGGATTCACAGCAACATAACAGGTCCTCCATATTCCTTTAGTCAAAAGAGTGTAATCAACTCATATATTTAAAAATAATATGCATATTTCACATTTACACTCCACTCAGCTGTTTAGTAAGTTAGTAATAAGTTATGGGTAAGTTATAGACAGGGATACAAAAATTTCTTTTGGTATCCAAATGATTAACACTACTATATAATTATTTCTCTGATGCTGGAAAAAATGAATAATTAGAAGTCTGATGCAGAATTCTAAGCTTTTAAATCTAAAATTCTTTTACATTTTCAGTAATCATGCTCTTTTAAATTAACATAGCATTGAAAATGGAAGGCTCCTTTGGTGGTTTGAGAAGGAAGGTTACAAATCATGGTGGTACACCCCTGCCCCAAACACAGTGATCTGAGCAACCTTAAAACACTCATTTCATGACAAGTGTGTTCATCAATGTTTACTAACTTACTTCCTCCATTAAATAAACACACATAAATTGTATTCAATCCTGTCTGAAGTGAGATTTTATTTTTTACTTCTCCTTTTCCTAAACAAACTTGAGGAAGTGCAGAGCTTGCACACACACATGCCCTCATATATTTAAAACTAGTCATGAGTTCAAGGCAGGTTACTGTCCAGTCGTTATGATAGTAATCCTATTTTTCTTATTCTCTTTTGGTGGTTTTTTGAAAGCTTACTGTTGATAGGTGAATAGCAACTCACATATATCTGATTATTGTTGAAACGCTTCTGAATCTCATAAAGCAGGCTGCTGTCTGTTAGCTCACTCAGAGAAGCCAGGTCATCATTTGGAGCTGGAGGCATTAGCTTGATCTAGAGAAACAAATTAGAGAAATAAAGTCACTTCACAATGAATCATTCTTTACTATAATATTCTAACTTACAGTACAAACCAAGACCACTAGAATTTATGGGGAAAAAATGCATTAGGAAACTGGAAAATTGTGACTCCTGATAAATCCACATAATTAATTGTAATCAAGGGAAGAATATAAAAATTATTGTCAATGTTATGGTGTATTACTGCATGAGTCTGATGGGCTCTTAAGAAGATACCAGAGTGCCATTTGCAGTCCTTAAATTCATAAAGATCCTTGGATCAGATTCAATTTTCCTGCTCTCTTCATTAAATGTTTATAGCAGAAGAAATCAAGAAATTAGTTATTGGACTTGTAAAGTATTTCTTGCAGTATTTAACTAAGCTCTCAGACCACTGTTTATCATACAGGGATTTGAAATTATACTTGAATTTTTCTTGCAGAATAGAAGTAAATTAGTAAGAAATTGGAAATGTGTTGTTATGGAAACCAGAAGATAATCAGAAGAGTCCACTGTAGCCAAAACTGGTGAGTAAAATTGTTTAACACTTTTGAGATTAGAGTGAATAATATAAGCTCTGCAAGGGCAAATAAAAACCTAATGAAACAAAAAAGATCCAAAAGACTGAGACAGGAGATAGAAGAAGAAAGAATCTGTGATAATGGAAATTTGATTAAAAACAAAATAAACACCGACACATTAAGCAGTGTGCTTAAAAATAATTATCTACACCTAAAATGGGAGACAGAGTAAAAAAGAATCAGTGATAATGGAAATTTGATTAAAGACAAAATAATCACTGACGCATTAAGTAGTGTGCTTATAAATAATGGTCTACACTTAAAATGTAGTTTGATTAATTTTTTATGTCAGTAAAATACCCAGAAACAGAAAATTCTTACATGAACGGCCATAGAATTAAGCAGTTTGTTCAGAATTTATTGTAATAACTCAGGGTCTATTTTGAGAATGGCCTATCAAGATGAAACTTCTTTCTTCTATTGTTCTGCTTAAAATGAAGGCTCAAGAGAAAAGCAGACACTGCCCTTTGTGGTGAACACCTCAGCACCTTCATCTTTTGCCAGTGACAGGAGATCAGAGGCAGAAGCAGTCTGGGAGATACTGGAGGGAACATGGAGCATGCTTCTGTCATGGGGAAGAGCCCAAAGACTATGGATACTTGAGTTTAGTACTGGAGATCTGACACACAGCTTCTAAGCTGCAGCTCAGTTGCCATAGGTTCAAAGTCTAGTTCAGAAAACCTGATACTCAGATTTCACTACCTGAGCCTTCAGGTGTAAGGCACCTATTGTCTACCTATTGGAAAGGCTTGTTCCTCACCCCATTGAAGTGAATGATGACTCCTCTGTCACACACAGAAGATGGCATTTCTTGCTCTTTTTGTTTTTAATCATCGCAGTTGGATATGCAGCTGAGCAAAACTTGTTTTGCCTTCAGTTGGCAAAACAAAATATTAAATTACATTTTGGTGTTGTTTTGATGATGTACTTTGGAATAGAAAAACAAACAAACAACCAAAGAATTCCAATGATATTTTTAAGTGTCTTGTAGAGAGAGAATAGAGAGACCAGTCTGTGGCGTCCTTTCCTTAACAGTGTGGTCATCTGGCATGAAGGAACAAAACAGGCCTTCACTGCACCCATTGTGTGCTATCAAAACTCAGAACATCTGTGCCATAGAATGAGCTTCTTTTAATCTATCTCTACAAAGATTAAACCTCTTCTAGGTATTTGTAAATAAAAGCAAGGTTTGGATAGAAGTACTGCTCTGGGATTCTCCTCATTTTCTGAACTTTTAACACACTTCCTTATACATTCCTGCTTCCTACCAGCTAGCACTCATGCAGATGAAACCTGGATATCATTCACGTCACACGACAATGATCATTTCCCATTGGTCATTTGGGCATGTGCCCATCTCAGGAGGGAGAAATTTTTGCCTTACAGACGTCTATGAACTTGTCCCACACAGCCCTAGACCAGCAAACAGGCACTGGCTTGCATTTATTTCATAATCCAGGCATGACCAAAAATGCTCATTCTGTAGGTATGGTTAGAAATGTGAAGTAAAGCTCCAAGTAAGGAAATCAAAATTTTTCAACATTTTCTACAAAGTTTAGGATTTGAAGTTTCAGTATTTTCTACCTGACTCATTGCATCAAATTCCATAGTTCAAGAAGTAAATAACAACATAGAAATAAGAAACTCTATATCCCTTAAACTCACAACTGATTTGACTTGATAATAACCATTATGTACATTATTAATATCTTATTTATGAGCACCTTAATCTTCCATTCTCATCCACTTTTCTGAGCATACTTTGCTTTTTATCTCAATGCATCTATCTGGCTATCATTCTAATTCCTTGATGTGTATGTTATGAGACATAAAAACAAAAATAGCCATACATACAGCATATGTTCCAATATAACTATGTTTCTAGGAGTGATTAGTTTTTAGATTTGTGTAATGCTTGCAATGAAGATTTCTATTTACTCTATTCAATTGCATACATTTATCAACATTCAGAATCTGCTCATATAATAGTCTTTAGCTATATATAGTTTTATAGTTATATATATTATTTAGTTATACATAGTTATAGTTATACATATATTATATATATATATATATATATATATATATATATATATATATATATATATTGGTTTTTACATACTTGTGTCACTGAAATAGATATACATTCCAGCTCTTGTGTATAATATTATGTTATACATTCCAGCTCTTATGTGTAATATTATGTTATACGCAGCTGAGCCTTATCTGTGTCATAAGTGATACTGGAACTATCCAGAGGGCATCAGAGGATACTCTGTCACACAGTTCATGTGGCCAACAATACATAAACAAGAAGTATAATGCAATTTTTTTTTTTAATACTCAATTAAGATAAAAAATTTAATTTATATTTATTTGCAGCATGGTGCATATAATTCAATTCCAAGTCATTAGTTTGAATCTGCTATCAAAAAATATCCTTTCCAGATGAGAAGATAAATTGAGAATGTGATAAAATTCTGAATATCATTCATAGTGCTTTCTTTGTTTGGCAGCAGAGATCTTGACATCTAGGAAAAATGTAATACAAGCCAAGAAAGGTCCAAATTGCTTTATTGAAGTAGTCACTTCATCCCCATCTCCTATACTCAATTAATAGAAATCTACATGAGAAATAATATTTCCTTAAGTCTCTTTTTCAGCATTTTTGCAATTAAAAAAACCTGAAGCAATATATAAATTTGAACATCTATTTCTTTCCAAACCAGAACATTACAGACTTTTCCTATTAAAAATTCGTGTCTGAAATGTGCTAGGATGAAACTTTCCTTTTTGATCCCCCAATATAGGCCTAATCTGCATGCCATATTGCCTAAGAATGTGTGGTATTTCTGACATAAAGCATGCAAAATATCATCCTGATATATTTCAATAATGTATGAACATAAAATCCAAGTAATGACTCCACATAACCTATTGAAAAATTAAACAGAACATGATTAGTTTGAGTGTAGCTTGAATGCAACTGGTAAGAATAAAAGACAAATCATTAGAAACGTAGTAGAATTAGGACACCCAAAAGGCAGGAATAGTGGGAAGGGGTTGTTCAAATATTTCCTTTGGTATCAGTTCTAAATAAAAACTTACTTCCCAAATTCTGAAATTAAAATATAATAATAATAATAATAATAATAATAATAATAATAATAATAATAAAGTGTTAAATGGATAGATTTAATCTTTAGAAACGAAAGTCTAAATATTATTAAGACAAATACAGATATGATACACATATACCTACAGATCATAATGCATGGCAAGTAGTAGAGAATACAATCCCTCTACTTCCAGGATCACAATCGCATCAAAGGAAAAAATATTACAAATTTTAATTTGGCAAAATCTAGAGACTTTCCTAAAATGTATCTGTTTCCTGAAGTAATTAAAGTAGCTTATTCTCTTTCTTTCATAAGAGCTAAAGCTCATTAAGCCCTTGCCAACTGAAAAGTTGTATTAATTCTTTTCTAATGCAACAAGTCATTAAAAAAAACCCCACTAAAAATAGCACTATTTCTAACCTATCCCCTGTTAATGATAATTTCTCAGCCAGAACTCTTCCTATCCTTCCATGATAGGGAGCATCACTCCAAATTCAGCAACTACAGATATTTTCTAGCTTTCCCTTTTCCTAAAAATGTATAGGATACACACTCCTGGCTAGTTTAGAGTAGAATTTCTGACTATTTCCTGCAGAAATTTCTCAAATAAAAGAGCTAAAAGAGATTGACCTTTAAATCTGCTCTCTTGCCTTTGAATTGTAAGTATTGTGGGAAGTTCCATTTTAGTAAACAGTGAAACAAGAGTGCTTTTTGTAAATCTGTCCTGTTTCCGTGAAGAGACTCAAGGTCATCGTGGACAGTAAAATTATCAGCATAAAGACTTCTGTTTGTTCATTTTCATCTGGAAGATTGAAATTTGTTAATCCTATTGGTTTCTGTGTATGTCTTTGTGCACAAACTATAAAACAAAAGTTTAGCTTCTAGATAATGAAAACCTGAATAATTTTGGCTAGGGTTACATCAAAATTATTCAGGCAGAAAGAAGTATCTGTGTTCTTGTAAACACTTCTGTTGAACATCTAGAAGCAAGCAATAGTCTTGGCAAAACTGTAAGCTAAATACTCCCCTCTTTTTTCCTACAATTACAGGAGGATTCCTCCTTAAAGGGTTGCAAGCATTCACTTTTCTGACCAGCAGTGCTTGTCCCTTGGAACGGCAGTTTCCACCAAATCGCATCAGTCAGCAACATCAGAAACTGCATGACATGAAAACAAGATGTAAGCCAAGTGCAAAACATTTTGTGGTATCTGCTGACTGGACAGGGAACCAAGCACTCCACATGATTCCACAGCTGAAGTTCTTTCACAGATTGACTCATATCATTTACATATGGATGCACTGATTGATCTCATGTGATCAAGCCATTCCTCTGAAACACATCCAAATAAAAAACAGAGGAGCATGCCTTCTTCTGCCAAGACAGAGATGCAGTTTCTTTGAACCAAACGTGGCTTAAATCAAACCAATATCTTGCTCTTTTGTTATGCTTCAAATTCACAATAAATTATTTTTATTGGAAATGTTCCCCTCCCCCAACCCTTTATCCTAAAGTAGATTTTTATTAAATGGCTAAATATTTCTGGAATGTGTGTTTCCCAAATGCATGTAACAGAAAATAAACTCATTTGTATCACAAAAAAATCCAAATAAAACAAAAACCAAACTAAACACAAAGGACAACAACAAAAAAATTAAGTCCTAAACATTCAAACCTAGAATGTGCTAGATTTATAAGCAATAGATAATTGTCTCCTTTTGCATTCATCCTATATACTGAATGAGATTGTCCTCCCGTGGAGAAAACTGTAAAGTGTATCCAAATAATCAGTGCTGATACTCTAATGCATTATCACAAGAAAGGGAGTAAACACTGCAGCTGTAAATCTGGCAAGTGCTAGCTTTGAATTGCAGTCTTTTACTTCGAAACTTGATATTCCTTAGACATTTTTGTTTTTTCAGTCTCCCAGGTTGTGTTTCTTTTGTAACTCGAAGTTTGAGACAAGCACACTCTCTGGGCAGCACCAACAGTTGTTCCTCCCCTGTTGTCATCCATGAATAAAATTGGAGGGGCTCTGAGTCCTCCCCACAGCCCCTGACCTGCCACCAGTAGCTGGCAGGAAGCAGCTGCTCAATTTGCAGAGGAAACAGACTGCAGGCAGTGATCAAGGTGACAAGGCTCCACAGTGCAAATGAGATGGTGCTGTATGGTGAGGGGAAAAAAACAATGATCACCAGCTTCATTAAGTTTACAATTTCCAGACCTAAGCACTAATGAAAATTTCAAGACCCTGCATTCTGTTACCTGCTCAAGTTTGGTTGTGGTGTTCACAGTGATATTTTCAGATGCACTATCTTGAGATTGCTGCTTACATAAGCCTTTAGCTGCATCTTTGAACATGGTATCTTTCTCCAGCAAACTGTCTTGCTTGGCAATCGGTAAAGCCAGGGGGTTCCTACAAAGAGAATCAATAAAGCAATTAGAACTCCTACTGAAGATGACAGACAATCAAATGTGGGTGGCACAAGCACAGAACTGAGATACAGCTCAGGGCTGAAACACAAGCTCCTGGTCCAAGTACTGAAAAGAAATTGGTGAGAAATAAACTGTTCACATAGGCTGGTCTGTTCCCAGAGACGCAGAGCAACATACTTTGATTTAAAATTCACCTTTATGCATGTCTTTTCTGAAGCAGAAATGAGCAAGACAAAGAGAATATGCACGAGTCTCCTGGTGACAGCACTAGGTTGGCAAATCAATAACCAATTTTGTAACTGAATTTAAAAAGCACAGTTAAACTACACAACACTATTTTGAAAAATAGTATGTTTAAACTACATATATTGCCATTGCAATTATTAAAATAAAATTCCATCACTTCTTATCTTACTTTTAATCCAGCAATATACCAGATAAATTTTATGACCAGAAGCACCTCTGAAATTGTGCTAAGGTAAAAATAGCCAAATAAAAAAGTAAGCAAATAGCAGACTCCTGAAATTATTTGAGCAGTGTGCAATACTCCTCATCCACATAAAAGTTAAAACTATTCTTATACATATGGACTTGCTTTCCCTACTGGCAGTTAAGACAATATGACACTTGTGAAAAACAGCAATGCCAAATCTTGGATCATTTTTCAGAGTTGTACATCCAAGGAATTAGCAAGGAATCATCTGTAGGAGCTGAGAATACAAATATCTTAAAAGATAATTGTCTGGATTCTGACAGTGCAAATGAGATAATCTCATGGAGTGTACACCAGCTCCTTGCCAAAATGCATACATAATTTCTTTGAAAGCAAATGTGGACTCGATAGACTTAATACGAGAATGTGGAAATAGTGCATTCCACTATGGAATAAAGCCCAAACTTAGTTAAAATAAATCTCATCTTTACTCTAAGTTACTTGAGTTTAATCACTGATAAAAACAAACAAACAAACAAACAAAACCCCACATAATTATACAGTTAACTTAAATGAATACTCATAGCTAACATTGAGAGCAGAGGGGAAAAGAGCTTCTCTTGGAAACAAAACTGAAATACATAATGTAGAAATTAAATACACACATAATTTTAGAAATAAAATATAAAACATCTTCTAGATAGAATTCATTGAATAACAAGACAAAGTTGTTTCCTACTGAATAAAAGATTGACAAAACTTTTTATGAAACTATAAGGCTGCAAATATTGAAAGAATTAGTTAAAACATTTTATAATGAATTACAAATGGGTTTTTTTGCCTCAATATGTTTTGCTTCAGATATTTGTATGTAAAATATCTAGAGGAACATTGTTGAAAATAAAAATTTCATTTAGTGCTTAGATTTACCATAAATAATCGTGTGATAAATTTACCAGATGTCACATGGACAAAAGACGTACCCTCATTTTTTCAATTTGAACTGCACTTTGAACTTGACAATTAGAATAAGACATATTAGTGATTAGACTGTAGAAGAAATTAAACACCTGTGACACAAACATAAATGACAAATATTAATTCACATTTTACCCAGATTCAGAATTGAGCAAAACATAATTAAAAAACATGAGGATTTGTTTCTGAGTAGCCCTTTGCTACTATGCAAAACTGCTCAAATTTCTCTAATTACAGACAAAGAAAAGTTTTAAAAAAAGCGTAAACAAAATTCAAGTGTTAAAAACCAAAGCACTGCCTCCTATATTTTTTTAATATTCATGTGATGTTTCTTTTAAATTGTGAAGATTCAGTATTTTTTTACTGTTAAGTTGAACCTTACCCACTCAGTCTTGACCTTTTGTGGTAACTACACAACACACATTAGAAACACTTCTTAAAATTCAGCTATAAACTCCTCAAAACCAAATTAATCTTTCAGGTGTCACAAAAGGAGAAGCAGGTTGTAAATCACAGCAAAGTATGGGGGGAAAATGAGGGCCTATTATTTTGACAGATGCATTTTAAACTTAAGAGGACAATAAAAACCTAATTTAAAAGGCACCTTTCTTTTTTTGTATGTATGTACTGATATACACAAGAATTGCCTTTAAATTACATATATTTATGCGATAATATAATTAATATGATGGAAAGGATGACATATAATTCATATTAAAACAAAAATGTGAATGATTCTGTGGAAGAAAAAACATTAAAATTACTCCAACAATTCATTCTAATTCAAGTTCAAGAAGATAGTATGAAAAATAAACTGAAATAAAATGTTTCCAGAAAACACTGGCTCTTTAGAAAAGTATTTCTACTAGTCACAAGATTAAGTCAAGCAATGCCTCTGAAAGCTCAACTATAGAACAGTACAAGGGAAAATTTTATGTTAATGTAGGCAAGATTTTATGTTAATGTAGCATGAACTGTCTTATTTTATGAAAATTAATGGATAATTAATGGATAATTAATAAATAATTAACCACAAAGGAAGACTTATGCCAAAATAATGTAGCACAGTAGACAAGAAGTGTTATCTAGGGTAATATTATTTGAATGTGGTAGGACTTTCTACCTGCCTATCTGACTGGAAAAAATATTGAATGTTATATGGAGGAACAGTGATTTTAATTTTTATTCAAAGAAGCCTTCATGTATGGAATTAATTTGAAATATTGTGTATTTTTATTGGACCCTTTTTTAGATAAAGTGAGAAGGTTTTCTATAAGTTGTCATCCTCTACCATGTCACTTTTAAAGGAAAAAAGAAGAAATAATATGAAACGTTAAGAGCTGACAATTAAATAATTGGAAGTTTCGTCATCAATATTGGAAGCACTTGGGCACTTTTTAATTTGATAAAAGAATTATATCAAGGCAGAATCTGAAGTAATATTTTCATGGGGCCTTTGAGCTTATTGCTTTTGTTGGAGAAAATTTGCCTTCCACAGGCAATTCTGAGATACTTCAAACAATTTCAAAGCCATCTGACACCTGTAAAAAATATAATCTCTGAAATTTCAGTCTAAAAAGCTTCTTAAAGTTACATAAAAGAAACTTCGGAATAGATTAAACTTTAGAAGAATGTTTGAAAACACTAGAATAATTAAAAGGCAAGTGCTACATAAATGCTTACATAGAAAATAAGAATTGAAATGTAAGAAAAATTGAATCACTCTTCTGTTTTTCTGTCTTGAAGGCATCTATTTTAATTTTATTTCACATTCTTGTGCTGATTTTGAAACACATAATTACTATAATTAATATTTGCTTAAACATGCATCAGAAAATGTACAGTGTGATTAAGTTAACATTACTTTGAGAGTAAGTTCTTAATCTTTTATTATTTATCACTACTTAGATGACAGCGCTATATGTGCTCTACAGGCAGATGTACTGGAGTAGAAGTACAGTGATCATTGTGAACATAGCATGAGCCTAAAGCCACTTTTAAACAGATATGGCCAATGTAATGTTCTGAACTGTGAGCTATGTCAATTAATGTATTCTGTGCTGATATTTTTGCCAGTGGAGTAACAAATTTTCACTTGACTGTGCCATTAGAATTAAGACTGGCAAAACTTTCCAGCATAGACCTTAGGTTTGCTGCAATGGTCAACCTTCAAATAATTTCATGACATTACTAAAATTCTGTCCTTCAGCTAATTTACTTGGTCAGTTATGACCAAGGAACTGTGCTGGAGCAGGTATGGCCTCAAAGATGCTGCAGCTTATGGAAGGCCTGTGTAAAGCACAAGAAAATAGCAAGACAAGAGGAGTAACAAAGAGAAATAACTTCAACCCTGCCCTGTGCCACCCACACCTCATTGGTGAGACTGAGTGCAATGCAGAAAGCCAGGTTTGCTTGGTAACAGCATATTTCAAATATACTGACTACTACATTTTGTTTCCTCTCCTGGATTTCAATTCATCTCTTCACAGTGTTCTTCCAGAAATCAATGCTGTAATTTAAATTTCGACCAGCAAAACTAGATTTGCTGACAAAACACATCTATTTATAATTTGTTCATCATCTTTGAGTCTGCTTTTGAATACTGTTTTCTTCTGAGAAATGGCCACAAAGCAATATCGACACAAAATGGAGTTACTAGGAACTATTGCAAAACTTTCCACCTCATATTACTTTCTTACATCTAAAGAGTTGATGAAGAATGGATGCAATATAAAATAAATCAAAGGTACATGTGGATCATTATTGACCACTCCTCTTCAGCACTAAAAAATTGGTTTGGTTGTCCTGGTTTGTAAGATAAGCTTGTATTCTATTTGCCATCTGTTGGAGGTTGGGCAGGTTTATTATCTCATCCAAGAACGATGGTTTGCTCCGAAGAGGTAATCGTTTGTTAATGGGCCATTGACTGATTCACTGCAGGGCTGGTAATGTAACACCATCCCATTGTGAGATGCTCCACCCAGAGGGGGAAGCCAAGCACTCTTTTATTGTATAAAGGGGTAGCTTTTGGGAGACAGAGCAGCTCTCTCTTTGCGGGATTCCCAGAGAAGCAGCTCCTTTGGCGGGATTCCCAGAGAAGTGGCCCCTTCGCTGGATTCCCAGAGGAAGACCGGCCCAACTGCCACCAGATCTTCAGAGAAAACTATACCCTTCTAAAGATCACCACTTCAGCTGCAATTCATCAGCCACTGCAAGAGGAGCAGTTGTCATTTCAACTGGACTGCTACCAACACCCCGACTCCTCAGGGTGTCAGGTTGTGGACTTTATCACTAGTTCTGTTTGTACCAATTGCATTTGCCTTTTTAAATTGTTATTTAGTTTCTCCTAGTAAAGAATTGTTACTCCCATTCCCATATCTTTGCCTGAGAGCCTTTTAATTTAAAAATCCTGGTAATTCGGAGGGAGGGGGTTTACCTTCTCCATTGCACAGGAAGCTTTTGCCCTCCTTCACAGACTCCTGTCTTGTCAAACCAAGACATTGGTACACAAAAATACACAGATATTTGTCTTCAAACTAACGTATACATATCTACAGACTCTTAACAGAGCATGAAGGATGAAACTCTTTGTTTTCAACGTTAGCCATGGGAAGGAAAAAAGTTGAAACCAGGCATCTAGGTTGCCTCTCTAACAGGAAGCATGGAGCCACTCGGGAGGATAATTCACTGTATCTTAAGAATATGTCTACTATCATTTGGAATAATACCTCTCTGCAAAGGTTTTAGGTTTCACAATTATAAGCATGATACTGTAAACCTGAGATAACTAACTTTTGGATGACACCTGATTTTCAGCCACTTTAAGGTTAGAGGATTTATAAGTATCATGGAACTTTGTGTGGTATGGTTCACCAACAGTCTTCCATATTCAGTAGTGATAGCTGAGATATGCATGGGCAAGATACACCAATAATTTAGCCTTCCAAGAATGCTCCCATCTCAGAATAGCTGGCTGGCCAGCTGATATTTCACTGCACTGCCAGAAGAATTGACTGCAAAGCTCTGGCTGAGGAAGTCTCTAAACCTACAGACTCTAAAATTCTTGAGAACATGCCAAGGTGGCATTCCTTCAAGCTTACTGTATCCTAATAATGGCCCCCTGGCTATGCACAAAGGATCACTGCCAAAGTCCGTGCACAGAGCTGAGCTTTGGCTTTGGCTTCACCTCATGCTATATTCTCATGCAAGCACCACTGACTAGATACAGTCCTACACTGGGATACATTGGCAATAGAAGCTAAACTCAGCCAATTCCACACATATATCAATTTTCTATGTTTTTTTTTTCAGTGGGCTTTGCTTCTTCAAAAGTTCCAATGAAGGCTTTTACACATGGCAGGTTGCATTATTGTCATATAAAGAGTCACTATACGGAAAACTCTCAAAAAATAGCTATCCTAATCGATGTATTAGAGAAAGGAAGGAGTAGAGAAAAAGTATTTTCAGACCACTTAAAATATGTGCCGGTCACGTCTTCCAGAGGTTAGTAGCTGTTAGCACTAAAACCAGTATTCAGTGCAATATATACACCACAGTACAAACTTCTAGAATACAAAACACATGGAAATGCATCATCTAGATACAAGAATGATGACTAAGTTCTCAAAGTCTCTAAAACCTCTAGAATAACTTTTGCTAGGCATTATTACATAGGTACAAGTGTTACCTCCCATCTACTTCTAGTATTACAACATATCAATAATTAAAAATAAAAGTTTTAGTTACATTTCAGAATCCAAAGGCTTAGTTTCATGCCTCAAAATTAAAATTTTCCATTTAAAGACAATTGAAGACCACATAAATCAGAGGAGTATGATTTATGTTATTGAAACAACAGGTCAGACTAGAGGACTGCTTATTTTGTAAGGAATTACCAAGCATGAAAAATTAGTAATTTCATAAACATTAGTATCATATATCCAGTTACATATATTGATGATTACAAATCATGAAGCAGAAACAACACACTGTGTTTACCACCCATGAAATATTGAATCTTTGCTAATTATCAGTATATCCCATGGAGTTCTGAATTTAACAGATTGATCATTTCATGACAGTTGCTCACATCTTCCAAATTTTAATGTATCTAAACTCATTCTGCCAACCATAAATTATAACTCCTATGAAATGGAAGCAAATATACCTTATCTGTCTCTCTATAAGAGGTTATTGTTTTCTTCACACACTCTTCATTGATTACTACAGAAAAATTATAGTCAGTGTTTTGCAACTAACAAATATATACTTTCAATATATGGCAACTGCACACTGTATAAAAACATTACTTGTAACTTTTAAAATTCCCTGGATCACGGTATCTGGAAAGAAGAATTTGAAATATCAGTATGTCTTGTATTACCCTAACACAACTAATTGTTCTTCATGCCTATTGTACATCTCTTTTCACATATGCATGGCAATCTTTTTTTCAGGCTGACAAGGAAATGCAAAAGTATCAACATTTACAATTTAAGACACAAATGGACTCTTTGATACTGAGTTTTAAGTCCTCATTGCTAAATGCTACTTGATTCCGCTTGAATTTTAAGCAGTACAAATCTAAATATAAATTTGTAAATATAATTTTGACCAGTAAAATTTCATCTGCAATCACATATCTGATTTTTCTCTTTTCAGGATTTGTCCTTGATTCTCTCATAGGCAATGATAGTTTTACTTACACTATACCCATCTACCTTAAAAAAAGGATGTTTAAGTCTACAGTATTAACCTCTAATAATTCTGCTAAGGCAACCCCAAGTAATTCCTGCTGGCAATTGTAATAGTATATTTTATTATTCAAAATCTATAATTATAAAACTAAGATTGACAAAAGGACATAAGAGATAAAAATTCAAAAGTTTATTCAGGATATTTCAAAAAGGAAAGTTACTTGATCCATCAAGTCACACAGAATCACAAAATGGCTGGGGATGGAAGGGACTTCCTAGAGGACACCTGGTCCATTCATCCTGCTCAGGCAAAGACAGTTACTCAGAACCATGTCCAGGTGGGATTTAAATATCTCCAAACACGCACAGGATTGGCAGATATGGTTCAAAGGATAATCTGGCTGCAGGGAATTGCTCTATAACACCACCAGCACTTACTTACAGTTTATTGGAAATTGTGGGCAAATCATGGATGATCTCTTCATATGGCTCTTCTTGAGATAAAGTAGAAACAGCTAAAGGGTCTTTCATTTTTTCCTCCCAAACAATTTCAGCCTTCAGAAGCATTTCCTCAATAAAATCAGAAGCTGCAACATCTAAGACATTGGAACACCAAGATATCAGACAAGAAAATGGTGCAGAAAATCTCCTTTGTATTAAAATTTTTATATCAGATTAAGACTAAACATGTGGCTAGATAACACAAAAGGTATTGCTCGAGTATCACTCATAAAATAATACTTAAAATTACTGGGAAAACAAAGGCAAAGTAAATTCAGTACAAACTTAAGTTTTCATATGCAAAACCTCAGAACTGTTTGTGCTGTGTACCAAACCGAAGTATTCAATAATTTACAGGACTTCAGGAAAAACCATACAACCCTTTTCAACATTTTATTTCTGTTAAAACATACACTTAAATCCTTTTAAAGTGTTTTACATTTCTACAAACTAGATTTATATGTTTTATACATATAGAAGTGCTGAAAACAGTTCTGTTTGCAGACCAGAAAGACAGGTAACTGTGTTAAATACTTACTAAAATATGGTTAGCTAACTGTATTGTTAGATTATCTGAGTTTAGTTCACAGCTCTTTTTACAAATAAAAACTCTATCTAACTACAAACGATTCTTCTGAGATTAAGTGTCATGAAGTTCCCTGTATTTGTAGGCAGTACAGCACTTGTAGCATGAGATGTTTTGCTTTATTATGCGAGGGAAGTTCCACCCATAATCTGACAGAAAGTTTCTATTATGTACATTACTGAGTTCCATCTTCATTTTATCCTAGGCACAGAATGTTGAACAACAATGTGTTTCTTCTTTTCCACACTGTTAGCTAGCATTAGTGACATTAGCTCTGCTTTGGTCTCTGTGTTAGATCAATTGATCTGAAGCCCCTTCCAACCTATCAGACTCCACAATTCTATTACCCTTAGAGCCAGTGCTCCAGCACCCCGTTGCTGTTTAGTTTAAGAAGGTGCTTTCTGCAGTAAACAATGGCAGCTACACTTCAAAACTAGGTGTTTAATTTGTTTTCAGACAACAGCTGTAGAAATTCCAACTCAAGAGGCCTTGTACTACAAACAGGTGAGACAGTAAGGAACTCAGTGAGAAAACACCAAAAATGTGTAAATACAGCTACCACAAAGACAGGGAAGAACTCACAAGTAAGAAATGTAGCTAAAAATAAACAGGGAATGAAACAAGTGGAAGGACATGCTGTCATTTGATATGATATCCTGCGTTACCATGACCAGCAGTTTTCAGCAATGCATGTAAGAATGTGCACATGTGTATGTAAATATAACTTTACACACTAAATAAACTACAGCTAAGAAAGCAGGAAGGAAAGCAAACAGTGTCACAATAGCTAATACATACACCATGTACATGGATTTTCACCTACCTGAAGGCTTTTCATTATTGCAGTTAAGAAGATTGGGATTAGCCTGGTGCATCAAAAGCAGCTTCACAAGATTGGTCTAAAATGGGCAAAACCAGAGGTGTTTGAAATGGGAGAAGTAGGACAGGTGCCTGTCACTCAGTTTATTCCTTCCTTCCTGCACTATCTGAAATCATATGATAAACCACAGGCAGTACCTCCCAACCCCCACCTTCTTCAGCTACTAAAAACGTTTCTATAAATCACAAGCGGCAGAGTAAAATTCAATTCTCCTACAATTTCAGGATACCCTTGGCAAAACTCCACCCCCAAATCACCTTCCAAGCACACATGTGTAAACCAGTTCACAAAGGAACAAACCTACCACCCATTACCACTTGTGCCTAACTAATCCAACAACTGTGCCAGCACTGTCAAAGGAGTCTGACTCACTGCCACTATCACAGAAGTAAATCTGGTCTCAGTCAGTAGTAGAAATTGGCACATTTATCTTATGTTCACCAAAATAATCTAATCTATTAGTAAAGGTAAAAATTGTAGCACAGTAGGAGAGGGCAGAGTATCATATAATGACAAAGTCTAAAACCTATTTTTCAATTCCTTCAAGGAACTGTTTTTCGTAAATTCTTCTATGGCGGCACCTAAGTCTCTAGAGATACTTTCCCATCAAAGGCTGTAGCAATGTCTGTCCTGATAAACTGGTCAGAAATGGGTGAAAGGCTGCATAAGGAATAAAAAATACTTTCAGAATAAGAATGTAGAGCCCAACTAAATGACAGAACTATATGCATTTTTGAATATATATTAAAGCAAATAGGAGAGATGAGGATGAGCACAGGGAGAAAAATGTTGTGAAGGAAACAAAGGATTCTTTAGAGAAGAAGAACACATCTAGAGATCAATGAGACCTGACTTGGAAGTCAGCTAAGGAAAAGGATAGTCATTTGGCATAAATGCAAGCAATAAATAAATAAATAAATAAATAGAAAAAATATTTTAATAAAAAAATTAAATTTGGATTCAGTACACAGAAGGAAAATTACTGGAAAACACTATGATAATGAGGATGCAAAAAAAATCCCAACCTTCAAATAATAGAAAACCAGGAAAATATTGTTGCAAATTTCTATAAAATAAAAAGATCTTGCTGTCCTCAGATTTCTAATACTGGCTTTCTTTTCATGTAGTAGCAGCATAAAATTCAGCAAACTTCAAGAAGTGGGGAAGCCATAAAAGGTTTATTTCCAAATCGAATTATCCCTGCTTTCTGCTGAGAAATTAAAACCCATGTAAAAATATGGTCTCTCTGTATTCGGAAAAAAAGGAACATGCTTAGTTATGGAGCTGTTGAATAATCTCTGAAAAGTGATATTAGTTGTATTAAAGGAAGGAGGCTGTAAATGCACTTTCAGTTTAATAACAATACACAGCTTTTTGGGTTACCAAAGGTTTGTATTTTTATCACAAGAAATACCATGCTCCAATATCAGTGCTTCCTGCTGCCAATGAAATATCTCCTGCTGGGACTCATTGATGAAATGCCACCAAGACTAAGGTATTTGGGTCACCGACAATTTCAATAACCTGATTTTGGACACACAACTCTCTTGTGTTGGAATTTAACTCGTTCACTAGTGTTTTAGAAGGAGTATTTTAAAATACAATTTAGATTATAATGTAAAAATACATATCTTCAGAACTGTGTTTAACAGAAGAAATATTTGTAGAATAATGACAGCAAATTACCACTAAGCAGAATCATTTCAATTGCAGAGTTACAAATAACATACATATGACCAGGTCAAGAAATAACAAATTACCTAATGAATTATTGTAGAACCTATGAATAAAATTAGTGTGTAGATATATATATATATATATATATATATGTATATTCCTGTTTTTCCACTGTAGTCTTTGCCAATTCATGTAAATTAAAAAAAATAGACAGCATTATGACTCACTGTGCAGAAAATGACACAGTAATTGTAGTTATTTAAAATATCGGCTTATAAAATATCATTTGTCTTGCTTCTCCTTTTGTACCCTTAACTATTTATTCAGTACCTTTAGAAAGAACACCAGTACACATCTCAGACTTTAATTTTCTCCTTTTAGATCTTATCTCTGAATATCCTCTTTCCCAAAATACAAAATTAGTTACTTTTTCTGTATTCATAAAGCATGGCTGTCTCTCTTTTCCTCAAATTGCAATATTTCTATTTTTCTATCTCTTACTGGATATCTTATCCTCTGACTGTTGAGAATGCTACTACAAAGAATATTTTCCTGTCTCTCACTTTAATCTGAAAGTCCAACCTTTTAGGTTCCCCTGGCTCCTTCTTTTCTCCCCAAGCCAGAAGAATCTTGCCCTCATTTTCGAAGGCCTTCAGAGATTCTCCATGATTTATGTATTCCCATTCATGCACCATTCTGGCTTCAGTTCCCACTGCACATGGGGCTGTGACTTTGGTCATCACTAATATATTTGAAGGTACCTATTTCTGTACTTCTTCTAGGCTGCACCTTATACTAATGAGGAAGCCTTGAAAATACTGGTGAACCTAGAATGTGAACATCCATTCACAACCTGTTCTGACATGATGTTTGCTGAAGAGAAACAGTTGATGGGCTACTCCACCACTCGGATGGACTAAAAAATGGTCTAATGGCTGAGCCCAGAGGCTGCTGATGATGGTCAGTAGACTAGGTGGAGGCCAGTAACCAGCACTGTACCCCAGGGAACAGTAATGGGACCTGTTTCATATCCCCATTAAAAAGATCTGGTTGATAGGGCAAAGTTTTCTGTTGGCATTAAATGTGAGGAGTGGCTGATATGTGAGAGGGTTGTGCTGCCATCCTGAGGGACCTCAACAGGCCAGAGAAATGGGCAGACAAGAACCTCATGAACCTCAACATGGCCAAGTGCAAAAGAACAACCCCAGGCCCAAGGGGTTATTTCCAAATAACCATGCAGAGAGCCACCCAACTGGAAAGGAGCTTTGCAGAAAAGGACCAGGGGGGTCTGGTAAATACCTTGCTGCACATGAGTGAGCAATGTGCTTTGGCTAGGCAGAAAGCACATGGTTCCCTGAACAGCAATTAGGAAGTGTTGCCCCTACTTGACTTATGGTGAACCTTCCTCACTACTCAGCACAGATGAAGTCACACCTGCAGTGCTGTGCCCATTTCTGAACAAATACAAAAGAGACATGGAAGAGTCTAGCAAAAGGCCACTAAGATAATTAAGAGACTGGAGCACCTCACATATGAGGAAAAACTGGGAGAGCTGGAATTATCCAACCTGGAGAAGCAAAGGTTCAGAAGAATCTCATCCGTGTGGGTAAATACCTGAGGGGAGATAGAAAGATGACAGAGACAAGCTCTTTTCAGTGATGCCTAGTGACAGGTCAGTAGGGTACTGAGGCATCTCCCTGCACAGATGAATGGAGGGAGTTGGGCCTGCTCAGTCTGGAGATGAGAAGACTGGGAGGGGACTGGGAGGGTGTCGAGAGGATGGAGCCATGTTCTGCTCCATGGTTCTGAGCAACAGAACAAAAGACAATATGGGCAGAAAATGAGTCGCAAGAAGTTTCACCTGGACATGAGGAATAACTTCTTTAAATGCAGGTGACCATGCACAAGAAGCAATCACCCACAGAGGTTGTGGAGTCTCTTTTACTGGAGATATTCAAGAACTGGACATAATCCTGTGCCCTGTGCTCTGGGATGATCCTGCTTGAGCAGGGGGGTTGGACTGTATGACCCACTGTGGTCCCCTCCAATCTTATCCCTTCTGTGATTCTGTGACATAAAGAAGCATAAATAAATTTACTGCAATACACACATTATAAAGCCTACAAATACAATTGCCCTGTACTGAAAAAGAGGCTAAGTTTTACCATGCATTAAATGCTATCTAAAAAATAAAAAAACAATGCTGAGATTTATAAAACAAAGGCTCAGGTGCACCATTGTTGATAAAACAAAGGCTCAGGAGCACCATTGTTAGTAAGACTGCAAGTTGCCACAGATATGTAACTGCAGTGACAGAGTATGAAATATGGGGCATGAAGGAGTAACAGAGATTCCTCAAGAATCTCCCCATGCACTTGAGGCTGCTAAGGCATCTCCAAACTGCTCTCAAACTGCTATTTTTTTATTAGAAATTAATTAGGTGTAGAGCAGAACCAGTATTTCCAAGAAGTGCCTTCCTTCCTCTCTTCTCTGGTCAGATATTTTCCACTGAAGCCAGGGACATTAGATGTGTACGAGCACCTGCAAAGGATAAACTGCTGGCTCTGCCTGAGCTTTTAGCTCTTATTATCCAAGTCCCAGTCCCAGAGCCACTAACTCAGATCATTTATTCTCTTTTCTTTATCATCAGAGGGATACCTGCTTAAGTCCTAAATTCAGAAAGCTGGTAGTTTTATGCAAATGTCCTCATGTGCTGTTTTGCACAGCAATGAATATGCATTATCCAATTTGCATGAATCCCCAACAGTAAATTCTTTCAGTCTTTCATTTTCTTTCCTATCATCACCAAAATTTCTCTCCATTCCTCTCTGTCTGTTTCAGCATTGGACATATTCTGTAATCTCTAAGGGACCTGGTTCATCATCAACCTTTTGGTTCCTAATCTCCTTCTCCATTTTTTATTCCCCAGACACTTCTTCATATCCACTCCTCAGTTGTCTCAGGCTAAGTCCTCACCACCTTCTTCTGGCAATTTTGTTCTACCTCTTGACACTTCTCAGTTCACCACTGATGGCCCCCATCATGTACTCATTCACAGTGAGACAAAGATGTACAATAAGAAACTAGTGGAACAACAATATTAAATCAAAATCGGTATTATTTTTGTCCATCAGTCTCACACTATTGTGTGAAATACAGTAAAATCACCAAATATATCTAAGGTGTATGTTCACAAAACACAGCAAAACCTTTAGACAGAACACAAGAAATATCACTGGTTACACCAGTATAATCTGCAGTCTTCACCACTGAGTAAGATGATCTACCTCTGCACTCATAAGGACCAGTTTTCTATGAGCAAAATTTAACTGACTGAGTTAA